GGGCATGGCCTGGCTCCTCGTCCCGCGCGGACTGTGTCCGGCCCGGACTGCTGCGTGGCCCCGCGGCTGGCCCGCCCGGGGCTTCCCTGTGCCGCCTCCCTGCGGCCCCTGCGCTCGGGTCCACGGAGATCTGCGGTCCGGCCCGGCTCCGCTCGGGGCTGCCGGTGCCCGTCCTGCGGGGGCCCCGGAGCCGGGTGAAGCCGCTTCCACAGGACTGAGGCCTCTGCCATTTAAGGCGGGTGTGGAAGCAGCTGCCCTGCCTTGCCCCCTTCTTGTACTGGTCCAATCTCAGACTAATCCAGCATCTGCTTTTAGCCGGGTCCCAGTGTGCGGGGCGACCCTGGGTAAAAGCAGGCCCGGGACTTCCCTCAGGGCAAGGTCCCTTTCCTGGGACTCCACAGACAGAGGCCTGTTGCCCCATTCAAGTACATTTGAAGTATCCAAGATGATGCTTTGTGTGGGAGAGCCACCGCAAATTTTAGTTACTTCCAGGGACCAGCTGCATGTCTGTGGTTGCCAGGTTTTACCTCAGCCAGAACCAGTTCAGGTCCAGCATCTGTTTCTAGCTTTTGAGCAACAGGTAACTCCAATCCTGGGCTCATGTTAAGAGCTCCATGTAAAACATGCAGGATGATACTTCCAAACTTGATCTCTGGGTATTTCAGGTGTTGCTGACTTCTTCTGTGTGGTAAGAACCCAGCTGAGTGCATAGCTTCATCATCAGAAATCAGGATCCCCGAGTAAGAATTTTAGTGGGTGACTGCTCATAATGCGCAGGCTTGTGGGGAGAGTCTGGCTTGCTCTTCTGTAGTTATGGTAGCTCTGTCAATGCCAACAGGTCAGGAGACCTGGCTTTAGTACGAAGAGCTGAAAGGATGTGAAAGATCATTTAAGAGACACTTTTTTGTATATCAAAAATTTCCATTCCAGTCTTGTATGCTGTTAGTCATTGTACCATCTAAGTACTAACATTTATTTAACCTCTGGATTTTGCCATGGGCAAGATGTGAAGGACAAGAGTGCAGGAGAATGCTAAAATGTAGATATTTTATAGCTAATGAGATCAACTATATTTACTGGACAAAATAAAAAAAGTATTATGGGTAATGAATAGTCATGCTTCAGATCACAAGAAAGTTATTAAGTAGCACAAGCAAGGAAGAAATTTAGGGTTAGGTTAATCCAAAAATGTTGGTGCATCATCTGAAGGATCTGGTACTGGATACTAGACTTCAGACTACTGGCCCAAGTCATTATGGACTTTTCTGTAGTCTTCTTTTCAAGTTTTACGTGTCACTTCTCATGCTAGAACTGTACTTCAATAGAGCCATGCTAGAGGGAAAATCGCTTCCCATATAATACCTGAGTATGCAGATTATTTTGTTTCGACTTAATTTATCTTTTACTGTGCATTTATGCAAATTGACTCTCTTGCTTTTTGTTTCTTGCACACTGATGCACAACTGTCTGCACTGCAAACACTGGAGAGAATTGTATTGTACTATTTTGTTTGTGTGATACCAAGCACATTTCTTTCAAAATATTTGTTTTTAATAAATTCCTCTGTCCAATTGTACTTTTCCTGGTTTTCAGAAAATTATGTTCTCTTTTTCCTGCCTGAAGGATGTGAGAGTATGTAGTCTGGAAGAGAGTATTTTGGTTGTATGTTCTGGTTTTCAGAGCTTCTAGTTTCTAGGCTGTACATTCCGGAAGGGCAAGGTAAGAAGAGGCATTTCTGAGGCTGTGTCCACAGGAGTGGGGTTTTTTTTGTTCGTTTTTTAAGTGCAGCATCCCCTATGCTGCCAAAGCAGTCCTAGCATTTATGCAGTTGTATTGTGCAAAGGTGTACTCTTGCCCATATGGTGGATTCTGTGTGCTCTTCCACTTTGCAAGTGAAAAGCTGTGCTTTCAGAAGCATAATTTGGCTGGCTTAACTCTGTCTACACAAGCTTCTGTTGGTTCAGCTGTCTGTCAGGATCATGTGTCTGACTAGCACAGCAGCACCGCAAAATTCGGTATCATGGATGTGGTCACGGCAAACATAGATCCTCTTTGGCAAACTTCTTTTGTTCGTTTGCTAGTAATCGTTAGCCTTTAGTTCAGCCTCATTCTTTAGGATGGGCTGGGGGAGGACTTCAATTTCAATCTACTCATCTGTCCTTGAATCATTTTTGATGCACATCCTTAAGAGCTTTTACTTTCTAGAAGTCTCCAGTTAATTTGCTGATGGTGATTAATGTAAAGAAATTAAAATGCACAACTGTCCCACTTCATACAAAGGAACATTGATTTAATTACAGATAACGAGTACACATTTTATACCCGCTGCTTTTATCTGGGTCACTCAGGCTGATGAATTTAACAGCAATCTAGTAGACCTTGGTATTACATTTCAACAATTTGGTACAACAATTCACATTCCTATTTCCTAAATCGTGTATGCATAGTAAGGAATTAGTAGTTTGTCCAATTTAAGAGTTCTTAAGAGTATTAGGAATTATTTATGTGGAGACTCTTCTCCAAGTGAATCGTACTTTGCTAAATAGTCTGGAGACTGAAATTATTCTGTTTCAGTACAACTCAATACGACTTGCCAGCCTGCAATCTTTAGCTCTTACTGTGCACCAAAGAAAGGAGCAGAACAAGGCCCTTTCCATTATATTCACCACTTTAGTTTTTTTTAAATCCTGTCCCTTGGCTTACTGATAGTACTAACAGCTAATGGTGACAGTGGATCTCATAAGAGGTTAATCTGGATCGTAAAGCATGTTCCATCCTTATGCAGTTGTTCCCAAGACAAAGGGAGGTAAAACTGTATAGGAATTGAAATGTTCTTTTTGTTCATGTGTTATGATTGTGATGTGCAGGTGCAAGCCTATCCTGCTTTCTACTTGGCTTCAGACTAGCACAACTAGCTACATCTCTTGATATCTCTGTGCAGATTGAAGATGGGTGTATATTTGTATATATACAAATGGCTCTTCATATTGAATGCCACTTGTCCATCTTAGATTACTTTCTTATCTCCACTTTTCTGTCTGTCCCAAAAAATAAAAAGGATAGCATCCTATTCTTGCCACTATTATCTGTAGTGTGATCAAAAGATATCTATGAGGGAACTGTGACTAAGACTTACTTCCCTGTTTGCCAAATCATCCAGAGACCAATATCTAGTTTCTTATTTTATTTTCCCACCTATAAGTTAACTCCAGGTTTTCTGTTTCATTTTTACAAGAAAAAAAAGTTTAGGGTGGTGTAGTGGTGGTTGTTTTTTGGTCTCCCAAAATAGATGTCTGTTTAATATCAGATAAAGACCTTGAACTGATGTTGTCCTTAGTTATTCAAGTGTGGGATTTTGTAAGAAAAAGGCACAAAGGGTTAAATTTAACTAAAAATACTAAATTAAAAACTGGGCTGAAAAGAATTCTGACTTGCAGTATTTTTGTGCATGCAATAATAATACCAACTCCCAAAGTCAAGACTGTTAGAGGCTCCATTATAGGTCTGTCATTCTGTAAGTCGTGTGTGTGTGTGTTTCTTTTGGGTAGAACAATAGGCATATTTATATTTAGAACAATACAATACTTTATCTAAATTGGAACAGGAGACTCCAAAGGTTTTGTTTTAAAACACACACATCTTTTTTGCATCTTATGTAAGCGTAGTGGTTCACAGGATAGGTATTTGGACACTGCACAAGTAAAATGCTCAAACCTGATGAGGCAACATTGTATAGTAGCTGGTGTTGGAGACAGAGTTTTTGGATCCTGGAAATTTATTTCTGTCTCTGGTCTTAACTTTCAGAGTCACCTTCAACAAATCATGGTAGCTTTTGTGGCTCAGTTTGCATAAAACTTATGAAGATGCTCTTCTCTCTTTCAAGGGTTTAACTTAAACCAACAGTTTAACATTTGCAAAGGAGAATTAGCTGCAAATTAGTGTAGGTGTACAGTATTTAATTTTGGTCTTTGTGTAGTTTTTGCTAGTACAAATACTTGGAAAGCACGGTGCACAAGCAGTTCGATATTTGTTTCACAGAGACATGTACATTGATGGCACTGTGCAAGTAATTGCCTATGAAAACGGCATTAAAAGAACATTAAGATTGTTAAATCAAGTACTTAGCAGTCAGCAACTGCCTGAATTAAGATTGCACATGTAACCTTGAATATCTTAAATGTGTCCCTTCCCCCTTTGTGTGTGAATTATAGTATGCAGTCATATAATTAACTGCACTATATTTTTTTTTTTCCCTTGAACAACCTGTTTTATGTGCACAAGTTGCTCATGAAACAAGCAGCTTATTCAATTTTACATTTTATTTTCAGTGTTATGAGATTGGGGCCATACCAACTGCGTGCCATTCAACCCAGTTCTGAATAAAAAAATAACTTCCTTTCAGGTTTTTGTATGGCATTCACCACTAAGTATATGGGTGCTTAGTAAATATTTAATCACACCTTCTAGGAAGAATGTCATGTTGCCTAACATTTTACAGATGGGAACCTGAAGCTCAGATATCAAGTGTGCAGAAATGTTCAGTGCCCAATTTGGGATGTCTGTAGTCATCCCCCTTGCTCTACCCACCCCACTCCCAGCTGTCATAGACAAATTTTGTAGCATTGTATTTTTCCAAACAGCTTTCAGTTATATACTGTGAAGTGTCTCACACACGCATCACTGAAAATTGGATCCTGGCTGTCTCAAATTTGTTACCAGAAAAGAAGAAACACAATGGTCATTTGTGAAAAGACATGAGAATCCTGGGTGGCAGAGATTAATTCTAGTTCTCCATGATGATATTCCATTGCCAAAACCACACTATCATCCTTTCTTTTCCTGCTATCCCCTGTATAAGCAAAGCCTAAAGATCTCCTTCACTATACAAACCTGATTCCTTCCCTCAACATTGTTTCTCCTGTGCCTGAAAGAGACAACAGATCCTATGGAAAAAATATACAATTTGGAATTAAACTGTACTTTCATAGGACCAATTTAAAGATGGACAGGTGGCTCCTAATAGAGCTTCCTAATTTTTGTATGCTTGACTTTGCAGCCTACACATTCTTCTTGCATCATTTCTTTTTGTATGTAATTTTCTAGTTGTTTGCCAGTTCACTTTTCAAGAAAACTTAGAAAAGTCATCATATGGAACTATGTTAGTCTCCATGAATATGGTTCTGCCACTTAGGCTGATTACAGTAGTTGTAAACATTTATGTGGGCCAGTTGCTAGAGTTAAGGAATATGCTGCATTAGTGACTTCCACAGCTTTTTGAATTTTACATGAAAGATGAGAAGCGTGACAACAGGGCAGCTTTCCATATTTCAAATTTGTGCTCCATGCAGGAACCGGAGACTCTCAGTGAAATGATTGTACAGATTATTGCATGGGAATACAACATCCTTTTTCTCTCAGTGTATTCTAAGTTAACAGCTGAACTGTTTAACTGCAGTTTAAAAAAATCAGCCTGAGATGCACTTGACATGGAAGACTTCAACCCAAACAGTTAATGTTGGGTGAAGTGGTAAGCAGCTGAAAACTGAGTCTTCAGTGTAGCCATCTGTAGCAGCATCACCTTTAAATATTTGTTGATCTAATGGGTTGCCTATTCTTCATGCTATTCTGGATTACAAAAGTATCTTTAGAGGAGTTTACAGGGCACAAATTTTGTTCATTGTAAAGAACTGTCAATATTGTACTTGTTCGGATCTGAGAAGACACTGAATTTAAGATGACCCTCCCAGTAATTAGATTGTATACGTGGAAAACTTATACACTTGTACAATTTTCTATGTATAGAATTGAATTATTTGAGGGTCATCTTTTTAATTAATTCCCCCCACACACTGTTGCAAGGGGGCAAGCAGTTTGCCCCATGCTTGTGCCTATCCCCCTGCCACCCCTGCCTCTGCTTCCCCCTGCCCTCCTCTCCCCTTCCCCAGCCTCTGCTTCCTCCCTTCCCCTCTTATGCATGCTCTGTACCAGCCGGCTTCTCCTTCATTCTAGCATGAGACATAGAACATGGCCCCAGCCCCATAGCAGCTGCGTGGGCTTTGCACCACTCCTACAGGACTGGGCTGGGGCCATACTCAGTGCCCCAGGCTGCAGTATGGTTGGAAAACTGCTGGCGTGGACAGAAGGTAAGGTGCAGAGAGGGGCAGGTGAGGGAACAGAAGCTATGTGAAGGGGGAGAGATGATGGGGTACAGAGGTCATGGGGGTTGGAGAGCCAGGCAGCAGCTGTGGCTATGGTTCCAATCCTGGGTAGGGGCTGGAGCTGGAGTCACAGCAGCTGCCTACCCCATCCACACCGCACTCATGCTCATTTCTAAGATAAGGGGCTTTTCCTTCCATGTTAAATGGTGGGGGGAACCTAGTCTTAGAATCAAGTAACTCTTCTTACTGCAAAGTACATCTTGCATTGGTAGAATTAGGTGCTTCAAGTTCAGAGAAAGTTGTATTTTGTTGTTGTTTTCCAGAGTCCTGTCAATGGAAAATGTGTTGACAGCTGCCTCCATCATTGTGAAAACATGGAAAGAAAATATCCGTCCAGGGAGAGCTCCAGAAAGTTACTGGGTAAAATGATGGAGATGAAGAAATTAAGTCATCATTTCAATATGGCAGCAGCTGAATCTGACAAGGACTCTGGATTCTCAGGTTTAGAAAAAGATCAAGTTAATTTTCCTTGTGTTATCTTGTTCAGACTTCACAGTGTTCTTTACAGACCTTTCTGTGTCTAGTCCCATGTCTGTCTGAAAGAAGGTTTTTCTGTATAGGGCATCTTTTAAAAAAAAAAAAAAAAAAAACCCAACTGGAACCAAGGTCTTCTGAGCAGCTATTTATGTTTATATAACTCCTTTGTCAATTTCAGTGGTATTGGAGTTTGACTCATTTCTTTAATGGGCATAGTTTTAATCTTTGCCAGAGTCCAGAATAAGGGGGATGGAGAGACTCTCTCTTCATCATTACAGTGATTAATGAGCTTTTGTTACAGTGCTAAGTATTCCTTAGGATGTGATTTTTGAAGTCAGAACAGCCTGTGAAACTCCAATGTATTTTATGAGCCTTATAAAATGTAACAGACATTTCCAACAAACCTCTGCAGTGATCCTTCCCTTAATTTAGAAGAAAAATCATGTACTGGAGACCTGAGACCACAAGGTACAAGAAAGCCGCAGCACAGCCTGTGACAGGGAAAGGTTTTGTTAACATTGCTCCATCCAAATATACTTTGTTACCACAAATGGTTAGAAAGACAGTACAGTCTCTGGCCTTTGAGTGCAAGGGTGCCAGTAATAATGGGATTTTTATGTAGATTCTTCTTCGCTAAGAATTAGTGTGAGAACTGCTAACTTGTCTAACAGAGACCACTTAGCAGCCCCCAAGAGAGTAAAGTATTTTAGGGGGAGTTCAAAAACAGGTTAGCAATATTCTTTACAGCCTGATTGAGCAGAGTGGAGCAGTGGAAATGAAGGCAGGTTAGCAAGTGTACTGCATATACAACAGCTAATAACTGGACTTTGCTCCTATTAGATGGGAGTTCCGAGTGCCTGGGCTCCATGGAGCAAACTGACTCGGAGGATAGGCTGAACACGTTTTCCTGGAATTCAGAGGACGGGCCCTGGCAGTGCCCTGTGACCACAAGCAATTCCTTTCCTGCACTTTCTCCTATGGTTGTAATGAAAAATGTGCTGGTCAAACAGGTAAGAAGGAAATAGTCTGTGGGAAGGATAAGTAAACATCTTTTTGAAGGGGAAATCATTATCATCATTATTGAATGCTACTGATTTAACTTGTTACACTCATGAGATCTTGGTATTAATACTGCCATCTCCCAATAATTGAAGATCAGCTCATGAGTTCAGCCATTTATGTGGCAGGTTAGAATCACTAAGATACAGAACAAATATTTGATGTGCCAGCTCTCATACATCTGTCAAATTTCCTTCTTTAAAAGGGATCTTGATAAGTCATACTGAGAGAGAAATTCTGCAAATTGATTATTTAACTCAAAAATCTAATTTACTTCTTTACTGATACTGTTAATTTATTTTTCTCCATCACTCACCTTAAGGAGTGAAATTAAGATTATTAGTTTAATTTGCTCATTCTCGAGCAGTAGCAGAGCTTTGGATTTTGGTTTCCAGTGCTGCAAGTGAATGTTAAAAATGTTTATTTCAAAATAAATTAGACACCAGAATGTATCCTTCTGTATTTGTGGTTTATTTTTTGTTCAAGCTTTTTCTGTTTTAACAAATCTTAAGTATGTTTATGTTCAAGCTGAGAGAACCCTAATTAAATTAAGTAGTAGCTAAATAAAAGTTCACTTAAGAGTTCAACTTGCAGCCACTGCATGGATTCTCTTCTTTGTTGTGTGTGTCATTCTACCAGCCATTGTGGATTTTTGAAGTCAAGGCAATTTAATTGCTGTATAAGTGGAATAGGCGATTTATTTTTCTAAGAAAGATATATGTTTTGGTTTATTAAAACACATGTATTAGATGCTTTATGCTCAGTGTGATGCATCTTATTGCTACCTATGAAGGTACACCATAATTTTATACATTTATTTAAGCAATTATATGATTTACTGTTTTCAGGTACTTATTAATTGTACATCTTTAGAAAATAGTAAATTATATAGCATTTGTTAACTAGGCAGTTGACTTCTTGCTCATGGTTTGTCAAGGAGTTGCATTAAAACAGGCTTTTAAGATCACTCAGGTGGGCTCAATGTGTGATTCTGATGAGACATGTGGTAATGTTTCCTAAAATCAGAGGCTGGGTCTCAGCACCTGTTATGACTTTTGCCAGTCTTTCTCATTGGTCTTTACAGCATCAGATTCTTCATACAATATATGATTTGTGCATCACTTTTGGAAGACTTCACCTAAAAAAGAAGTCATGTTTTTCTCCTTGATTTTTTTGTATAGACAAGCAGATAGCCTGTATTGCCAAGGTTTTGATAAAGACTCATGGGTTCCATTTATTTTTGCAAACAGGTATTTTAAGTTATCATTTTAGGCCTTAATGCTTTTTGTATTACATCCAGATTTCATTTTAAACAAGTTTACTTGTAGAAAGGAAAGTTTTGAATTAAATATCAGAATAAGAAATCTGATTAAAATAGGAATCATATGCTTCTATCAACCCTGCCATGAGTATGTTTGTAAGACACTTGTGAAGCATGTACGTGCCAGCAAAAGATGTGGGAGATGCCCACATCTGGTATTCCTTTATTTCTAATTCTGTCTGTCTCATCTTTTGAGGAGGTATGAAGAAATGTTATCCCTACATCTGAGCAAAAAAAGCCTGTAAAATCATTGGGTAAAATGGCTGTGGGTCCTGACCCTTGAGATTTGGCATGACTGCAAGCAAGTCTGGTTAAACATGAATATTATTAGTACCAGTGCCCAGAGGGACAATGAGCTTCTGTAACTGTGCCAAAATGAGATCTGCAGGGTATGCATTTGTAGGGAAGTTGGTTCTTGGATCTCCCAGATATGATTTCTTAGTCTGACAAAACACTGTGATTCAATCTAGAGGCAAGTTCTTGGAAATGTAGACAAACTGCTTAAGTAGCTGCATAAAGCTCCATTCTAGTAGATGATAGACAAGCTTCATCTGCTGGTGGGCTGCAGGTCAGAACTGGAAAATAGCATATTGGCTCCTGTGCTATTCTAATAATAAACTTTATAGAGAATATTGCAAGCACTTCACAGAATTAATTAGATACCTTATAAAATTAATAATGTAAGAGAGAAAATTAAGAATGAACTGGGGAGAGAATTTGTTGAACCAGAATCTGTTTCATTGAACCAAGGATTGTAGTATCTGAACTTAATTACGTATGAATGAAAGAGAGCCTTGCTAAAATGAAGGATTATACTGCAACAAACTAAAGCAAATGGCATAGGTCAGAGGAATCATGAGATGCATTTATGCCTTTGTTCATTTTGCCTTGTTATCATGGGGTTGTGTTTTGTCAACTCTGAAATTGTCCTTTCAACACAGTGATAATTCCCCAAAATGGATGCATTTAGTTTGGTCCATCTCCTTCTCGTTACAACAGTTACGAGGGATATTTTTAAGTTAATAATAATAGTTTAGACCATTAGCACTAACTGTTTTTCTCTTGCTTGAGACCAGGTCAACAACTGTGGAAGAACAGCACAAAAATCCCTTTCATCTATGCTGATTTCAAAGTGTAAATGGCAAGCTCTAATAATAATAAAAACAAGAGGTTGGAATTAAGCTGCATTGAGTTTTACAAAATTATTTGCTAGGTTTTTATGTCTTATGAAAACTGCTGACCTTTGGTGAGCAGGAAGATTTTTGGACAAATTGCAGTGTCTGTCTTAATATAAAAAAAAAAAAGTTCTAGAGTGAACTTGCAGAATGGCAACTGACAGATATTAGTGCAATATAATATGAAGAGAAGAATGGTACTTGGATTTTGGCAGAAGAAGGAATAGAGCATAGGGGGAGAAAGACAGCCAGGAAAGGAATGAAGGAAAAACAAGAGCAGGATGAATAGTGACCATGTTGAGTGTTTGCATCAGTGTGGTAATACTGAAAAGCCTTAATCAGTTGTGTTCTCTGATATGGGCAGAAGTAACTTGTAACCATTTCTAAAAGGGAGGAATAAGGTACACTAGCTGTTAAGCTGCAACTGTTACTATTGCCTGCTTCAGTATCAATAGAAGTGATCTAAATCCCTGGACACTTAACCCTGAATACAAGGGGGCTAAAATAGCAATAGTTTTGCTACAGTACAGAGCTTAACATTCATCAGACTGTTACCAATCATCTGCATGTGTACATAACTATAGAGGGGCAGTCCCAATGAATGTGGCCTGTTCACCCTTCTACTGTATTAAAACCAGTTAATTCCTCTAAATTGCAAAGGGTAAAGGAGTGACTTTGAGAGGGGATGGCAATTCAGAAACTTTTCTTCTAGTGTAATACACACATTGCTTGGCAACATACAATTACATTGGTTTAGTCAAAGCTACAGTATTGTACAGGGGTGCAGCAGTTTGTAGAGCAGACTTTCTTCCTTGAGCTGGTCTTGCAGCATGGGATCAGTCTGGGACATGAGATACTTGCAGTGCTAACACTGTGCACTGCCTCTGGGGTTGGTCTGGGTCTGACTATACCAGAGCCAGCTCACAGGGGTGTCTGGCAGGGTATAATGTGCAGCTCATGCCCTGTTCTGTGACAAGTGCGTGCAGCACTGGATTCAGCCTGTGCACCCTGCGTTGGCCCAGCTCCAGGGCTTGTGCTGACTGTAGCATGTGGGCTGGGCCCAGTGCTGCAGGCACTGCCTATGACACAGGTCTGGCAAAGTGCTCACGCATATGGCACCTTGCTGGCCAGGCTCTGGTGTGCACTATCTCTGGTGCATATGGATGGCCTGGAGCCCAATCCTGACTGCCCCAGAACCAGTGCAATCCCCATGCTGGTCCCCTGGACTGCAGTCAGTGCTCACAACACTGGATCCATCTTGCACGTCACCTGCAGCACAAGCCTCAGAATGGAGTCAATGCATGATGTCTGCAGCCCTGGGGCCTGGCACAGGGAGTATGCTGCCCCTGGGGCCCCACCAATCCAGCCCTGTGCACTGGTTCTGATGCAGCTGGATCTAGCCTACAGACCCTCATTCAGTCCATGGGGCTTGATGAGTTTTACACCCCTGTAGTGGGGGCTGAATACATTTTTTTAAACAGATGTTTATACAGTGTGTGGTTTCAACATATTTTTAAAGATACAGGACATATTTGTGAACAGCAATGGTGTATATGACAACACTATATTAAGCGCTTGGTATAGGAGCAGCAGTGACAAGATTAGATTTCTGTGTTTCAACCAATGTATAATTTGAACAGCTCTCAGTGAGATCATGCAGCATTCATTTTTGATTGCTTGTCAGTAGTGTCATAATTAAACAGTTATGTACTGAAAATTTTTTAAAAGCCACTTATTTTATTATCCATGTATTTTCAAACCTAGCCTAGAGTTCCTAGTTAGGAAAGGAAGAAATATTAAAATAGGCTTTTAAATGTATTTTCTGTTTGCCGGTAAATGAATTGTGAACTATAACTTTGTCTCTAGCACTGCTTTACATGTGGCTGGAAGAGGAGAAATGCTTGCACAGGATGCAGCAAAGCTGGTAGTATTTAGCAGTGGTGTCCACCAGGATTGGCTCAGCTCATCTGCATTGATAAGAACTTTAGTGTCATACTGAATCAGACTGCTGGTCCATCTAGCTTGGTATCCTGTTCCTGATGGTGGCAGTAGTGGATGCTTTAGAGGCAGAGCATCTGAAAGGTAATATCTAGTGAAGTGATTCTCAACTAGGGTGTCACCAGATACTTTGAAGGGTGCCATGAGGTATGAGGAGGTATGCAGATAAGTGCAGGCTCAGTGTTCCTGCCTGGTTGACCCCCCGTGCCTGCAGTCCAGTTCCTCTGCAAGGAGTGGTAAGCACTGTACTATACATGTACAGCATGTTGGTAGCAAGAGGAGGATCAAGGAAACTGTGGGTCCCTTACTGAATTGGGGAGGCAACCTTGTGACAGGATGCAGAAACTGCTGAAGTGTGTGTGCGACTCGCCCTACGAACACACAGTTCCTCCATACACACACACACACTCTGTCTATCTCTCTCTCTCCGTACACCTCCCTTTTCCCCCCCAGGTACCAATACAGGCCTCATGCTCCCTGGTCCGGCAGTGCAGCTGGGACCCATCTCATGTTGGAGCAGTGCGAGCAGGCAGCCAGGGAAATTGCTGGGGGTGGGGTGGGGCTGGGCTGCTGAGTTCCTGCTGAGGCTCCCCGTGGGTCCTACTGCCCCTGACTCCTGTCATCTTTAACAAGCAGCCAGGAGCAGATAAATATTTTCTAATTTTTTTAGGGGCCCTGTGAAACAGAGTAGCCTGGTGGGCCAGATCCAGCCCACGGGCTGTATTTTGCCCACTCCTGGGATGCATGAATGGACTGTAAGGTGAATAGAAAGCTGGCTGAAGCATCAGCCTCAGGGACTAGTAGTCAATGGCTCAATGTCTAGTTAGCAGGTGGTATCAAGTGGAGTGCCCCAGGGGTCAGTCCTGGGGTTGGTTTTGCTCAATGTCTTCATCAATGACCTGGAAGATGGCACAGAGTGCACCCTCAGCAAGTTTGCAGATGACACCAAGCTGGAGGGAGTAGTAGATATTCTGGAGGGTAGGTCTAGGATTCAAATTGACCTAGATAAATTGGAGGATTGGACCAAAAGACATCTTATGACGTTCAACAAGGATAAGTGGAGGAGTATACCTACTTGGCTCACACTTGCAGGGAAGCAGTGAGAAAGGCCAAAGCAGATATTAAGCTCAAGTTGGCAACAAAGATTAAGGAAAACAAGAAGTCCTTCTTTAAGTACATAGGGAACAGGAAGAAGGCGCAGGGTAACATAGGGCCGCTACAGAATGGACTAGGGCAACTCGTAACTGATAGGATGGAAAAAGCGGAGCTCTTAAATCATTTCTTTGCTTCTGTTTTCCTGGACATGGATACAAATGCACCTCCCAATAAGTCTTTAGTCTGGAGTGAGAGTAATACCAATCCACCAACGGTTAGCACTGACCTAGCGAAGAGGCACTTGGAAGGGTTTGGATGTATTTAAGTTGGCAGGCCCTGACGATCTTCACCCAAGGGTACTAAAGGAATTGGCCAAAGACATAGCAGAACCACTGGCAGAGCTGTTTGAGCGCTCGTGGCACTTGGGACAGGTCACAGAGGACTGGAAAAGGGCCAGCGTGGTCCCCATCTTCAAGGAGGGGAGGAAGGAGGACTCGGGTAATTATAGGCCAGTTAACATCACCTCTATTCTTGGCAAGGCCTTAGAAAAAATCGTAAAGGATTACATTTGGAGGGGGCCAGCAGGTAACACAATGTTAAGGGGCAACCAGCACAGATCCTGCCTGACTAACTTGGTCACTTTTTATGACCAGGTCACAAAGTGCGTAGACGCAGGGGAGGAAGTAGATATTATTTACCTGGATTTTAAAAAGGCTTTTGACACAGTGTCATACCCAGTTCTTATGAGTAAACTGAGTAGCTGTGATGTGGATTTTTTTCACAGTAAGGTGGGTGAAAAACTGGCTTATGGGACGCACCTAGAGAGGTGGTGGATGGGGTGGTTTCTCCCTGGACGGATGTGGGCAGTGGTGTCCCCCAAGGCTCTGCCCTTGGATCAGTACTGTTTAATATCTTCATCAGCAATTTGGAGGAAGGTGTTGAAAGCACCTTGTCCAAATTTTCAGATGACACTAAACTATGGGGCATAGTAAACACACCGGAGGGTAGGAAGCGAATTCAGGCAGATTTGGACAGACTGGGAAAGTGGGCAGATCAGAATAGGATGCAGTTCAACAAGGATAAATGCAAGGTGTTGCACCTGGGGAGAGAGAATCTCCAACACACCTATAGATTAGGGATTACCATTCTGAGCACCACAACAGTGGAAAGAGATCTCAGAGTCCTGGTTGATGCAAAAATGAACATGAGTCACCAGTGCGACGAGGTAATAAACGAGGCTAACTGCACTCTTTCTTGCATCAGCAGAAGTATCATGAGCAGGTCCAGGGAAGTGATAATTCCCCTCTATGCAGCATTGGTGAGGCTGCAGATGGAGTACTGTGTCCAGTTTTGGGCGCTGCACTTCAAGAGGGATGTGGATAACCTTGAGAGGGTTCAGAGGTGGGCTACTCATATGGTTGAGGGCCTGCAGGTAAGACCCTATGAAGACAGACTGAGGATCTGAATCTCTTCAGCCTCCACAAGAGAAGGCTGAGAGGTGATCTTGTGGCTGCCTACAAACTGATTGGGGGGGCCAGCAGGGAATAGGGCACCTGTTTACCAGGGAACCCCTCGGGGTTACCAGAAATAATGGCCACAAACAGAAGGAGAACAGATTTAGATTGGACATAAGGAAGAAATTCTTTACGGTAAGGGTTGCGAAAATATGGAATGGGCTTCCAAGGGAGTTGGTGCTTTCCTCTACCCTGGAGATGTTAAACAGGAGGTTACGGAACCCCGGTGCTCTTTCCCACGTGGAGCAGCGGGTTGGACCTGATGATCTACCAGGTCCCTTCTGACTCTAGAAACCTATGAACTCTTAAGTGCAAAGTCCAGCACTTGGGATGGAACAATTCCATGCAACAGTATAGGCTGAGGGCTGACTGGCAGGGCAGCAGCTCTGCAGAAAAGGACCTGGGGGTTATAGTGGATAATAAGTTAAATATGAGCTAGCAGTGTGCTCTTGTTGACAAGAAGGCTAATGGCATACTGGGATGCATTGGTAGGTGTGTTGCCAGTAGGTCAAGGGAAGTGATTCTTTCCCTCTGTTCTGCACCGGTGAGGCCACATCTGGAGTACTGTGTTCAGTTTTGGGCCCCCCACTACAGAAAGGAAGTGGACAAATTGGAGAGTCCAGTGGAAGGCAACAAAAATGGTGAGGGGGCTGGGGGACATGACTCATGAGGAAAGACGGCAGGAACTGGGCTTATTTAGTTTACAGAAGAGGAGATCAAGAGGGGACTTAAAGCAGGCTTCAACTACCTGAAGGGGGTTCGAAAGAGAATGCAGCTAGACTGTTCTCAGTGGTGGCACATGACAGAACAAGGAGTAATGGTCTCAAGTTGCAGCAGGGGAAATTTAAATGAGATATTAGGAAGAATTTTGTCACGAGGAGGGTAGTAAAACACTAAAACAGGTTACCCAGCAAGGTGTTGGAAGCTCTGTTCTTGGAGATTTTCAAAATCCAGCTAGACAAAGCTTTGTCTGGGATGTTCTATTAGGGGATGGTCCTGCTTTGAGGAGGGGGTTGGACTAGTTGACCTCCTGAGGTCTTTCCAAACCCTATCTTTCTATGATTCTATATAAATATTTTTTTGAAATTGGGTGCTGCTCAGCTTGCAGAAGTTATGGAGCATGCCTTGAAATTGAAAAGGTCAAGAACTACTGTTCTAGAGTGATCTATCCCCTGTTCATTACACTTTCTGGCATCTACCATCATAGAGATGTCAGAAGACACTTCCTTACAGTTCTGTTTAATAGCTATTACTGGATCTGTTATCCAAGAATTTTGTCCCTTTTTGAACCTGCCTTTACTATCTGCCTCTACAACTTCCTCTGACAATTAGTTCCAGAAGCTAACTTTGTGTTGCATAAAGAAGAACTTAAGTGCGTTAAACCTGTCTCTAACCCTTTTCTAACCCTTTCTTGCTTATATTATCAGTCACGATAACTAGATTTTCCCTCCGTACTTCTCAGGGAAGCAGTTCATCACAGCTTCAGTCTTGGACTGTCCAGCCATCTTTTGAAGTGATTCCAGCTCAGCCACAGCTAGTGTTTCTTCATCCCCACATCCCTCCTGTTAATCCTCACTTTGTTGGCAAAAAAAGGAATGACTCCACTAATTACCTGCCCATCCTGAATTCCTACACAAAAATAGCACCGCATCCCTGCAAAAGGGATCGTGACTTGGAAAGAGACGAGACCAGTAGGCAGAAACGGCTCTGTACAGAAGCACCCAAGAGAGAGACATCTCCCTCTGTACCAAGCAACAGCAGCTTACCCTCGAGTCCCTGTGGCCAGTTATTACTTGGCTTTAAGCCTGCTCAGGACTCTAATCAGCAGAGCACTCCAGCTTCAGTGGCAGGTGGGAAAATGTCAAGTATGCCTAGTTTTCAGTGTGTTTCCACTGATAATCAGAAAGCCCCAGGTTTGACTCCCTTCCAGGCATCAAAATGTACTTCTCATGAGATTGAGAATCCAGCACAGCATCTGATGCAGTCTGCAATATGCAGCCAGCCCTTGGCACCAGAGGAACTCTGCACGACTCCTGATCTATTCTTGCAGCAGCAAAGCAAGTGCAGGCGCTTTCAGAATACCTGGGTTGTACTGCGGAGGTCTGGATTGTTGGAAATCACCTTGAAAACCAAGGAGTTGATTCATCAGAACCAGGTGACCCAGATCCAGCTGGATCAGCTGAAGCAGCAAACACAGCTGTTCATGGAGGCAATAAAGAACAATGCTCCTCAGGCCTGGGAAGAGCTACAGGCATCTCTAACTGGGTCTGAGAGAGTTAACAGCAGTCTTGAGTCCACCTATCCCAGCATGTAGTTCACAGATATTGTTCAAATGATTCCTGTGCCTCCTTATTTCCAGTTTTCTAAGTCTGAGACTGCTTAACATCTTATAAAGCAACATGTAATTAACAATGTCCACAAGGCCAATTGTGAAACTGGCACAGTGTGGGAGGGGCTTTGAAAAATAGGTCCTGCTGTTTCATGTGATTGGTAACTGTGCTCTTCATTGGACCAGAGAAGTACATATGTGCTAAGATGATGCGTTCCCACTCCTGTGGTAAAAAGTGTCATTTACAATGTTCTAGTAAGTACCCTTCTTTTCACCACATCTCTAGGCAGCCATTCACAGAACAGAATAGAGCCACCCATGGAGTTTCATGGGAGCTGATGGGGAGAAAAAGGAAGTTTTCATGGGTAATACGGTATCTCCAGAGTGGGGTTGGTACTTTATCAGATTGTGTGGCCTTTAGGTCAGAGCCACATTTAACTAGTGGAGATCTGTTTTCATTGAAGTTGCATTTAATATACAGCTTTGCTTGAACAAGGCAATGAGAGCATCTGCAAAAATAATAAGCAGTTCCAGGCATGCCCTGTTAGTATGCTTATTTTGGGTTTGCTTTCTTTAAAACTGAGTTGGGTGAAAGTTAGAAAATAAAAAAAAGGGTTTGCACTGAAAGTAATTATTTCAAAACCATATTTATTTGCACTGCTTGTTAACAACTAACAGTTATACTAAGCAGGTAGCTTTGGATTTTCCACGTGTGTAATGATTTAAACCCTGACCCCTGTTACTTCATTTAAAAAAAAATGTTCATTTGCAGTGACTTTGTTGTGTGTAGTATAAAGATGATGTTCCTCGCTAGCCAGGAATAATCTGTTAAGACCTCATTTGATTTGCATCTATCCAGTTTAGGAGACTGGGGTTTTCTTGAGCTGTGAAATCTTGCTAAGTTTAAAAAGGGCAGGGGGGAAGGTTGTAGTGGCCCCACAGTACAACAAGCCCTTGTTTCTCTTTTTAAAAAAAAAACATTAGGGAGTCTGTAAAAGAGAAAGAGGCTGCCAGCTTAGTTAACTCTTCCCCAGAATCTGATCAACCTGATCTTGAACACTTGTATTTAAAAATGTTTGTGATGGGAGCAGCACCATTATTAATCCTCTTGAAGTGCATGCATACACCCCAGTGTCAGCTGAGGCAATAGGCTATGTCAAAAGTACACAAAAATCTTCTTGCAAAAGCTGTTCTGTGGATGTGTTTATTTTTTAATTTGAAAAGTTGTTCAGCTTCACACTGAACCATTTTATTATGGGATGCATAAAATAGATATAAAATATCCCTATCAGGAATAAAGTGAATATTCTGGTGGTGTTTTACAATTGTGAGATCAGAGTTCAGTGCCTTCTGGTTTGGAAATACTTTTGAAGAAACTTGAAGTCCAGGCGATCACTTCTCTTCGCATCTCCTTTATTTATTTCAGTTTCTTCATAACATCTGATGAAGTGGGCTGTTGCCTACAAGATCTCATGCATCTCTGAACCAGTTAGTCTCTGAAGTACTACCTTGCTTTATCTTTTACCTTTCCTTAAAAAGGAAGATAAACACTTTTTCAGTCCAAAATCAAGGGCTGGCCTCACACTAACTTCAGTATCTTTAGGTGTTCTTTGTTCTGATTGTCTCAGAAATGAGTACTGTATTGGGCACTGAAGGGTGTTTCTGTAGCCTTCAAACAACAAATGATTTAGAGGAACTTTGGAAGCAGGGGAGGTTTTCTCCTTTTTTATGTGCCTCAAGTGGAGAGGAAACCCAAGCCAAGCATGGACTGGTCTTTTGGCCTAGAGAGATTTCCTAGCAAGCTCAGGAAGCCTTAGGGCCCTCTCAGGATCCAGCTGAGTAATAGCAGATTAAGTGCAGCTTGTTTGGTGGCACCCTACCCACAAGCTTAAGCAGAAGGTGGAACTTAAGACAAGGTCATGCACCGGCCACCTTCTACCTTTGTCTGAATATAGCTTGCTCCTGTTACAAATTATCGTGTGTGACTTGAGGCAGCAGGTTTGAACAAGAGGTTGTAGAGGACAGGATAGCTGTACACATGCCAGGCTAAACATTGAGGGTATATTTGTGCTGCATAGTACTGACACTCAAGTTAGCTTGGTTACAAGGAGCAGTCTTGCTATGATACTGTATAGCTCTGTGTACCTAATTTACCCTGATGAGAAATTGTGTAGCTTCCAATCTCCTTATCCAAAGCAGGGGGAAAAGGCTATTTCTATTGATTTGAGTGATGCAGGTGTATTTGGTTTGGCAGCCACCTCTAACTAGTCCCTTTCTTTCCCTGGAATCTTTGCCCTCCCCATCTGATGGCATAGAGTCCCTATGCTCAGACTATTTTTTAAGCAGCAGCTGTTCTAAAAAGTGACGTGAGGGGTCTAGAATGAATTACTGACACTGTAGAGATGGAAGGAAGGAAGTTCAGTCCCGGTTGTCTGAATGTGAGAGAAATGTGAGCTGGTGGCTGGCACTACTTGCATCCCTCTAAAACAGAAAATGTTTGCTGCTTCCCTAACTGTGTTCTCAAGGTGAGAGAAGTAAAACTGTCATAGTTCACTCTACAGCGTGCATACTCTTCCCTGACAGTATAGGT